GTAAGTTTGTTTTAGACTCATTGCTGTTGGTTACAGCATGTGTTGGGATGCTGGAATATTATGTGGAATATATATGGAATATTAAGGTATACTAGGTTACTTCTGAGTATTCCAAGAACACACTTCACTGAAATTATCCTTTCCGCTCAAAATTTGGTCAAGGTAACCTTGCCTGTACAGTATTCTAAGTGCATATAAAGTACACTGTAAACAATAAAACCCAGCTCCAGTTGGAGTAGGAATATTTTTATGTACACTTTTAAGATTGAAGGACAAAGTTCTGTAGTATTTGAGAACATGTGCCATAGTAAAGTCTAATTTGCATTTGTCCTTAACATACATGGAAAAGAATTCTTTCAAACAAAGATGCACTGTTTCCGCAGCCACAGAATCAATACGGAGAGTTGTCTTTCTTCCTTCTCCCAGTCTTTCATACATGGTTTCGGTTCAGACACAAACTTCATTGTAGCAACCTATACAGCTAAGGCCAAAAAACAAAAAATGACAATGAAGCAATAGTTTCAGAGTGGCATCGAGGTTTTACTTCTGAAATATTTCTGCTTATTTTCATTTTGTTCCTTTCTGATTGTAAATGTTTGTGTGTAAAAGCAAGTGTTTTCAGGATTTTCAATATTAATACTTTGATTAAACATATTTAAGAGGATTTTATAATATCTTAATGGGTATGTATATATGCTAAATGGCAGCTTTTTCAAGGCTGGTTCAGAAGGGCAAGATGGGATTTATATAATTCCAAGTGATAGTTAAATGCAACTGATTAAATACTTCTATCACATACTTCACCTGCCCTCAGCCCACTAATCTATTTCCTAAACTGCTTCTAACATTCCAAACTTCTGAGCTTCTTAAGACATTAAAAATAATCAGTTAGAAATGTTAACTTTCTAAATGTGGAATTTCTCTTTCAAAATTACACCCATCTGATGTGTACATGGATACTGCCTTTGAAAAGTAACAGATTTAAGTTCAAATCACGCAACTCATCAGGGCTACAAATAGGTGGTTATTCCAGCAGAAGGGGGAAATGGTCCCTCCTTTCTAATAGGCAGGCTATGAAAAAAGCTTGTGACATGTTTAATGTGACATACAGACTAATGCAGATAAAATTTTTATACTATACCTTTTATTCTGTTTGTATCTTACATGTATATTTATGGGGATTGAAAAATGTACCTGACTGCTAGCCCCAGGACTATCACTAGCCAGTATGACAAATACCTGTACAACAGTGGTCACCTACCTGTAGATCACGATCAACTGGTTGATCGCGGAGCCTCTGCCAGTCGATTGAAATCTCCGGTCACTAAAAGTTCGGCGGTGCAGCCTGCCCTGGCCCTGCGCTGCTCCCGGTAGGAGCCTAGTACTAGGGCAGCCTAGTACTGCTATCAGGTACACTATTAGTTGAAGCAGCAGAAGTCTCTACAATGGACCTTGTAGAAGGTTCGTGCCGGGGCTCGACCCACCTAGGCAGGAGGGGAGCCACACCGACTCATTACCGGTGGGGCAGCGGTATAGTTCGCTGGGTCAGCGCTCCTACCCTTTGGCACAGGACTGAGTGACACACAGTTTAGGGAGCTCGGGGCCCTTTGGTGCAGGGGCTGAGCAGCAGTACAACAGGGGGAAGCCTGCCATCCATGAGCGGGGGTGACGGGGGGGGGACGCAGGCCCACCCACTCCACTGCGTCCCAGCCCGGGGCCCTAGCAGCGGCCACTGCCGCTGGGGTCAGTGCGGTGTCCTGACCGAAACACACAGACATTGGCTCATACGGGACTACAGCCTGACCGGGGTCGGCTACCCCCGGGCTACTTCCGGGTTCCCCCTCAGGGCCTACCTCGTCCGTGGCACCAGGCCCAGTCCAATCCACCAGCATGGGCCCCTCTCAGCTGGGGCTGGGCAGCAGGTCCGGCAGCTCCTCAGGGAAGTCCGGGCAATTGGACTCTGGCAGCTCCTCTAGGTAACAGCAGGGGTGGAGGGGCCCTGGTGGCATCTCACCTTCGGGGTTGGTGTGGGGGAGTTCCAACGGCTCCTCCCAATGACGGGAGCGGACGGGTTCCGGTGGCTCCTCCTCGTAGTGGGCTCGGGGCAGCTCCAGCCAGTTAGGGCAATGGCCTCGGAGGTCTCCTGACCGCGAGCTCCTGGCCACACGTCTGCTCCCCGCAGCAGCTAGGGCCTCACTGAGCTCTGGCGGATGGCTTTTATACTTCCTGCCCCGCCCCTTGACTTCCAGGGGGCGGGGACAGGCGGCGGTGGCTCCGCCTACTTGGGTGTCTGTAAGGGGGCTCCCTCTGCTGGGCAGGAGGGGAGCCACACCTACTCACTACAGACCTATATGTTCTACCCATGCTGATGTCTCTCATGCAGGTGTCAGTGTAAAGTCTGCACTCAAATGTGAGGAAATGCCAGTATTAAGATTGCCTGCACAATCTTAATTCACCCTCCCTTGTGCATTTTGAAGACCATTTTTTCCCACAGGATTCCTGCCTCATTCAAAGCACAACAAGATAGACACACTCTGGAGATGAATGTGTTCTTTAGTGAAGGTGACTGTAAGACCCCTTCTTCATTTGTTTCAGAAGTTGGAAGGTGGTGTGTAGTGAATGACGTAGGGAACTGCAGGTAGAGAAAGGATGGTCTCATGGTTAAGCCAATTGAATGCTACCCCGAAGAATTGGATTCTATCTCTGCCTCTGCCTCAGAATTCTTGTATGATGCTGGGCAAGTCACCTAAACCTGAACTTTGCACAGGTGGTCATAATTGTGTGTACCTCATTTTCTGGATGCCTGACCTGAGGTCTGATGTGCCGAGCATTCAGTAGCTGCAATTGTAGCTAGTCAGAGTAGTGTTTTGAACATATAAAATGCTATAGAATCCGAAGCATTCAGAAAATCTGTTTCTAGAGTCTCAATTTACACACCTAAAATTAATGGATACTTTTAATCTTAATCTTTGTGTCTTAATTCCCTATCTGTAAAATAGGAATAATACCCCTTCATTTCACAGGGGTGTCTAAATTAATTCATTAATTAACCAGATACCATAGTAACAAGCACAATAGAAAGCCTATGAGGGAACTAAAAATTCTGCCTTCAGAACAGAATTTGAACAATGGATGTAAACAAGGCCCGGGGGAGCACAGTGAAGAATGAGGAGCACCATCCCTTCTGTGCGCTTAATGAGGCAGGGGGCTTGTGGAAAAAATAGAATATGATCATGTAATTAAAGACTGTACATGTGCAAGGGGGATGAATTAAGGTCCCATAGGCAGCCATAATTCTGGCATTTCCTAACTTTTCAGTGCTTGATTTTGCAATCTTAATATTTTTAATGTAGTTTTATTTCTGTAATAGTATGTTAATTTGCATTTGTATTCTGCATGGTTTATTGCAGCAAGTATTGTATTTACTGCTAGGCATTTTAGAATAGATAAATACTTTGACACTTTTTTTTCTTGTGGTTGAGAATCTGCTGCTGTTTCCAATAACTGAAATGTCACCTTGTGTGTGTTAGAGAATGACTAAAACCACTTTCAAACATTGCACATATTAAATCCTTGTGGTCTCATTCTTAAGATGAGGGAAATGTTTTTTTACTTTCCCTTATTAGTATAACATGAAGCAAAGTCTAGGCTCTCTAACATATAGCCCCAAGTCTATCTGCTATGTTTTGTAAATAAAAACATAATCTGGCAGAAGTCAGGTTTGAGTTATGGTCTATTATGACATCAATTTTATATACAAAAAACTACCTTAAAATAAGATTGCAAAGTCAAACATTTAAAAGTTAGAAAATGCCAGAAGTAAAATTTCCTATTCAACCTTAATTTGGCCCCCTTGTGTATATGTATTATGATAATCTCTAACTACATGATCACAAACCGTTTTTTTTACCATACGACCCTTACCTTAATCAGTGCACAGGATGGGTGGTGGTTAGTTTGAGGAAATTATCCAGTGTTACTCTTAAGGCTTGTAACTTAGAGTTTGGCCTCATGCTGTGTTTTTGAACACCATCCAAATGCTATGCTGGATACAGAATTATTAATTTCTAATGCCTAATTATTAATTAGTTTTCTGTGGTATTAATGATAGTAGTAGGAGTGTCTTATGAATGTATCTTCACAACTCCTCTGAGATAAGTTATCCTCATTTTACAGATAAGGAACCTAGGCTACAATTTGAAGAAGTGTCCACTAATTATGGTTGCTTCCACGATTGGATACCTAACTTGAGAACTAGGGATCCATTTTTAGAGTATTCTGCATTTTTAATAATTGTATATGTTCAAAGCAATGTACAGACACTAACCAACCACTGCAACACTATGAAGTAGACAGGTAAATATTATACCCATTTTTAAACACAAGGAGACTAAAACAGATAGTGACTTGTGCAAAGCCACAGAGTGAGTCAATGGTATAACCAGAATTGGAGCCCAGGACTTCCCAACTCCACATCTTGCTCCTAGAGCAGCTGCAGTTCCCATTGACTTTACTTGTAGTTGAGTGCTCAGCAACTCTGAAAACAAGGTCCCATGTCTCAAGTTGGGTACCCAGAAAATAGGGAATACAATGTGAAAATCTTCATTTAAGTGACTTACCCACTATCACATACGCAATCTATGGCAGACGTGTGGATGGAACCCATTTCTCCTGGGTGGCATTCAGTTGCTGTTGAAGGCAGTCCTTTCTTTCTGCAGTCCCCTAACTCATCCTCACTCTCTCCACACCTTGTAGTTCTACAATGGATGAATCAGATGTCCTACAGACAGCTGCATTCACTACACAACCCTGATTCACTCGCTGAACACTTTCCAGGACTTCTAGGTCTCCAGCATTGACCTCTACCTCTTGAGCTAAAGCAATACCTGGTATTAGCAGTATGCTGTTATCTTATATGAACCAGCTACAACTAGAGGGTGATAGTGTACGCAGTTTGTCAGAGCTTACATGACTACTTTCCAGACAGCAGAAATATGTTGGAAATGAGAAATCCTGGGTTGTACTCTTAACTCTGGGGGGGGGGGGGGGGTATAGTCTTGTGTTTATAGACAGCACAGCCAACTACATAAAGTTTGCATATTCTGAAAAGCAGTGTGACTAAGTAGAAATGCTATGAGATACGCATTCTGGTCCTAGTTCTGCCTGAAATGACAGTATCCTCATTATCTTTAATAATAAAATGTGTGAAAAGGAAGGCTCCCTTAATTTAGGATTTATCACCCCATTCAGGGGGCATGTCCAGTGCTTTTGCTGTGATATAGGGATCCCTACAGGCGGGACTATGCTGGAGATTAAATTTTGGAGATTTTAGAAGTCAATCTCTAACAAGCTCCACTGAGCACGTGCAAATAGCATTTTTGAAAGGCTTATAACTCTGCTGAATTTGGGTGGATTTTCATGCTTAATGTAAATAAACTGAAGGAGAGGCACTCTTTATCAATTTTTCAGTTGTAGTAATGATAGGTATTACTTCTCAACCAACAGATGCTATAAACACTTCAAACAGAAGTGATTATTTTTTTCCAAGTTGGTGTCCCTCTTTAGAGGTAGGGGAGGGGGATCAAAAAGCATATAATTTTTTGATCACTTGAGGTGTTCTGGCTATCTGTTTCAGGTGAGCAGCGATACTTCTAAGAGAAACTCTTTACATCCTCTGTCTTGTAATTGTTTAAGTGTCTAAGCATGGACAGAGCCTGAAAATCCACTTAGGAGGAGGTTTTCCTAAACAGGTGTCATCAACTTCTGCAGAATTTAAGTTGTTTGGGGTTTTTCTTTTTTTTAAAAAAAGTAACCTCACCCACCTGAACCCTATGGAAAACAATGCAGTGTAACCTTTCGGTAGGCTTGTCTATGTGAGGAAAGGTGCACTATTTAAATTAAGGTGTGATATTTTTTTTTTTAAACCCATTTATGCCTGGTCTAAGCAGGCCTTGCACTGTTTTAACTAATAGTGTGGAGGTTTTTTTTAATGCTGATGTAGTTAAACCAGTGCAACTTTGTGTGGACATCTTAAAATCAATTTTAAACCTGTCTTCTACTGATAACTTGCCCCTGTAAATTTACTAACAAGTTAAGTCAATTTAAACTTGCTAATATAGGGTTTTGTACACACAGTTGTACTAAATTGCTTTAAAATTCTGTTAAATTGGTGCAACTTCTGTGTGTAAACAAGACCTAGTCTGCTTATAACTCCAGTGTTGCTGCTGCTCAAAGCTGTTAAAAGCTGTAGCAGACTAACAACGGAAGTCTTGTCAGTTTTCACTGCTGCTGTTAAGAACCCTGTAGACTGTAGTAACATTGAAAAGAATCATATTAGTTTCACTGCTTTTAGGAATTATGAGCTCTGAGCTAGAAACTGAAGCATTCATTTAGCTGGGGACCCAAAAATGGAGTCCAGAAGATAGATTAGTGAAGACACAAACCCCTTGCAGCAGCCAAGAAGCTGAAAGGAGTAGAATAATGGGGATTCTACAACCATCACAGGAGCTGAGGTCTGTGTTTAGAGAAAGAAACAGTAAATGCTCCTCTTCACGTCCCATAGGCAGCCTTTGAAGGTGGGTGCAGAAACAGCATCACCCCTTACCAGCAGCTGGAGGCGTAGGAGATAGCATATCCCCAGGGCCATTACCTGGGGCATTACCTCAGCTAGTGAGGGATGGGGGTTCATCTTTCATATTTGCCTTTTAGTTATTAGGCTTAATTCTTCTTGGGATTCAGGAGCTTGATATTTACAAACCCTCTGTGTGAGTGGATGATTGGCAGCAGAGTGTGTGTGTGATGTCTGGATAATGAAATCCAGTATGGAGAGAGAGCAAGAGAGAGCGCTTCTTGAGTGGAGGCAGTGGAAGAAGAGACAGAATATATACTGGAGGTGGGAGAACGTAATATAGGGAAAGAGAGAGAAGAAAGAGAAACTCTGAGGCATTCAGCTCACTCTTGGACAAAAAGGATTAACTGCCTTTTTGTGTAAGAAGAACAGAAAGTCAGTCTGCCAGGCTCTTCTCTGTTCATATAGGCAGCAAGCAGTCTTATCTCTAATGACTTCTGAAGTAACTTCCAGTAAATGCATTGTCTTCTGAATACTTCAGGAATATTGATGGCTGTTCTCATACATCACAGAAATCTACTCCATCAAGGTACTGATTGTTCTGTTTGATTTCTTTTTTTTAGTGCCTCTGCCAACAAATGTTGTAATAGAATCCTTGAACTTCAAGACTGTATTGCGCTGGGATTACATGCGCATGCCTACAACCCCTCACTTTATTGTGGAAATCCAACCTTATGAGTAAGTTTCCATGTCTTGCATTATACCTGTACCTTATTTTCTTTAAAAGGCATTCATGTAGTGAGTCCTTTGATTTTGCCATATGTCCAGGAAAGCTTTATTTCTACACAGTGAAATCATGCCGTCCCTATGGAATTCAGTATGAGTGTAAATGAAGACAGAATTTGTCTCCATTCTGACATCTGTATTGCGTAATACATTGGCTGTAAAAATTACATTAATTACTCTTTAATCTATTTTACAGGCTAGGGAAATATAAGCCAGTCAGTACCTGCATGAAGATAAGTAAACATTATTGTGACCTCTCTAATGAAATAGAAGACCTGAGTCAGTCTCACTGGGCTAGAGTTAAAGCTTTCATTGGGTTAGAAGAGTCCGAGTACGTTGAGACCAAAGAATTTGTTCTGCGACGGGATGGTAAGTTTAAATGTAAACCTAAATTTTACATCCAGAAAACTGATTTGAGATCACTTAGATGAATTCATAGTATTTCTATTAAATTTAAAGATTAATATAAATATATTTCTGGTGCAATATTGTATGTTTGGTTAGGAATATCATAGTATAACTTGGGGTTCAGGATGAAAGATGAGCATAACAGTTGCTTAGGAGCACTCTTTATATGTAGTTACTTGTATGGCCCCCTCACTAATGTCTGAGCACCTTTCCAAATATTTTAAAAAGAGAAGTGGTGCTGGTGATGCACTCAGTGGCATGCTTTCCTTATTATGCTACTATCCCAACGCCCCAATGTGGGGTAGGGAGACCACTGTTGTGCTTGGAAAGTACTGCCTTCTTAGACATTCCAGAAGTTGCTGTATTACAATGCTGGGCGAAGTGATCCCTATTCAATGTGGCTTCAGTTATCCATCTTCTGATCAACCAAAACTGTTACCTTGAAGCGGAAGTCCCCTGTAGTATGACTGCAGAGCATAATATCCTGTGTTGAAAGTTATGCATTGCAGTCCTTATGCATATAACAATCTCTTTTAGGATTATCCAGATACATTTAATGTACTTTTTTATAGTTGGATAACTAAGGATGTACTGCATATATAGTTTTCAATTATAAAATGTTTTGGGCGCATTCAGAATCAATAGCATTTCATTTAGATTTACACAAAAAAGGATAATCTGCAGGGCCCTTGGCTTATATAAATTTTAAACTTTGTATAAACCTTTCCCTAAATTCTTTTAGTGCTCAATCCTTGCCTTAAACTTAGATGTCTTGAGTTCTAATGGGCTACAGGTTTAAGGGTAGTTTCATCGCATCCATTTCCAATCAGGGCCGCCCAGAGGGGGAGGCAAGTGGGGCAATTTGCCCCGGGCCCCGCAGGGACCCCCATGAGAGTTTTTCAGGGCCCCTGGAGCGGGGTCTTTCACTCGCTTCGGGGGCCCCGGAAAACTCTCGCAGGGCCCGGGCCCCCGGAGCTTCTTCCGCTCCGGGTCTTCGGCAGCAGTTCGGTGGCGGGGGGTCCTTCTGCCCCGGGACCCGCTGCCAAAGTGCCCTGAAGACCCGCGGCAGGGGGGTCCTTCCGCCCCGGGACCTGCCGCCGAAGTGCCGGGTCTTTGGCGGCAATTTGGCGGCAGGGGCCCCCTGCCGCCGAAGACCCCAGGACCCCTGAATCCTCTGGGCAGCCCTGTTTCCAATGCCTAATCTCTTACATAAATTGATGCTACCTTTTTATGAGCAACTTTCTAGCCTGTTGTCCTGATAATTCCTGAGATTATTTTTCAAATTTAATAATCTTGGTTTTAATATGGTGTTCTTAGATTCTGCATGATACTCGAATGAAATCTCATCAGTCAATAGTACCTTGCTTTGTGCTTTAGTATCATATATACATGATTTGTTTTGCTTTTCTAATTGATGTCAAGGAGCTGAATTTTAAGGCCTTATATATGTGGGGAAAGTTACATTGGTTTAACTAAAATCAGGGATGGGTGACTGGCAGCCCTGGGCCACATCTGGCCCTCTGATTTGTTTTATTTGGCCTCCTAACCAGGGGCGTAACCATAGGAGGGCCTGGGTCAGCTGTGTTAATACCCAGGCCCACCTAAATCTGAGCCTGAGGAGGCAGCTCTTCCAGTGTCCAGAGTGAGGAAAGGGGCAAGAAACTCTGCCAGCGTGGAGCCAGAGGATGGCCAAAGGGGCGAGGCTCTTTCCACTGCCTAGAGGAGGTTGTTTCCTGGCACCTGGTGGAGGCAGCAGCTCTCCAGTTTTAGTAGGCTTGTTGCCTTCCTGGAGATCATGGAGCTGAGTTTGGGCAGGCAGGTGTATTTCACACAGCCCAGCACGGCGGTATCAGTGGAGGACTTGCTGCTCTGGCACATGTTCTCACAGCAGCAGCCAGGCGAGCTGCCTCAGGACAGCAAGGACTGCTTCTTCCTTGACCACAACGGCTTTGTCTTCTGCTATATCCTGAAGCCTCCCTTTTTTTTTTTTTTAATTAAAAGGCTTGTCAAAGAGTTTGTGGATTTTGTGGCCCTTGGCTACATTTAAATTGCCCGTTCCAGTCATTTTTGAACCAGTGCAAACTCTTGGTGTGAAGAATTTTTGTTTTTGTTTTTGGTTTAAAAGTGGTTGGTTCCAGTTTAGCTTATATCTGTTCCTACTTGATGTAGCTACACTGGGGGGGGTGGGGAAGCCACCCTTTAGCCAAAATAAGAATGTGTAAGCACTTGTAAACGAGCATCATGTCTGTCCAGTTGTCATATCCTTTTTTCTGTTCAGTGCCTTAACCTTTTGCCCATTTAGACCATTTGACACTTTTTTCAAACCTCATCCGTATGTTAACATAGAAAAATGTAAAGTTTTATAAGCCATCTGGCAGACATTTCTGCCCAGTGTCCTCACTGGTACTGCCCATTCTTGCTAGATTTATGCCCATCCAAAAGCATATATTCCCTAAACCAGGACTCAACTCCTCTGCAGCATTCCTCCCATCAGGTATGTAATCACTCATTATTCTGGCATGTCTTAATTTTTCCTCTTGAAAATGAATGATAAATGCCATATCTGTTAGCTCTACATTTGTCTTTGAATTCTGTATCAAAATCCTTCAACCCAATAGTGAAGGTACACCTTTGTTTCAGGAAAAATAGGACCACCGACTCTGAATGTCTCAATTGAGAGAGACCAAATCAGGGTTGAGATTCGCCCCCCACGCGCTGTTCGAAAATATAAGGACTTCACATACAAGGTGTTTCTCTGGTCCAATGGAGAGCAGGTATGTTTTAAATTGAAAGTTTCAGATTGTATTTTGGCCTTTTTTACAAAAACACTTAGTTTTAGAAAGAGCATATATTGATAAACAATAGGTTTTTATTACCTTAATTTCTCTTGGATGTGTGTGTAATTTTCTTTAAACAATTTTAAAACTATTAATGATGCAAAACTGAATCCCTGAAATGTTGAATGTGGAACCTTAACCATAGCCCTGTCCTTTGAGTATCCATTGCAGTAATCTTTAATTGCGGTCACGTGCTATTATTTCTGTAGGACCCCTGCTTTAATAAGTCTACCTTTTGGACACTTAATCCATTTAGGTTTTTCTTTCATGTCCCTCATTATGATGATTTGAGAATCTTTTATTGAATAGAGAGAGCTGTTCAGTATTGGCTTTTATCCTCGTAGTTAAATGTGTTTGTCCACTAACTTGTTCACTGAATCCCACTTATCCTTTCCAAATAATCAGTCACCACTATGGATTCGAAGTACATCCATTAATTTGTATGAATTTATTGCATGATAATGATACACAGAATTTGACCCCATATAGGGCAGGACTCAAATGTTGTTCTGTGCATTGAGCTACCTCATTCACTGAACACCCTCCAGTCTGCTCTGCATGCTGAATGAAGCAGCGGTCCTCAGGGGAAATGTTTTCGTATGATCCAAAAATCTGTGCCAGTGCAAAATTGGGAGATTGGGGTTTTTTAAATAATCTAAAAATTACTGTACTCTGTGTAACATCTACATCCTTAATTTCAAAATCAATGCTCACCGGACAGTTTAAAGGCACATATCCAGTCTAGGGACCACCTCTGTGGAAGATTTAAAATGTATATCCTTATCAACTAAGTCACTAAAGCAGAGGTGGGCAAACTACGGCCCGGGGGCCACATCCAGTCCTCCAGAAATCTTAATCTGGCCCTCGAGCTCCCGCCGGGAAGTGGGGTCTGGGACTTGCCCCGCTCTAGCCAGGGAGCGGAGTCGGGGTCTTGCCCCACTCCGCACGGCTCCCGAAAGCAGCGGCATGTCCCCCCTCCAGCTCCTATGCGTAGGGGCAGCGAGGGGGCTCCTCATGCTCCCCCCGCCCCAAGTGCTCCCCCTGCAACTCCCATTGGCTGGGAACCGCAGCCAATGGGAGCTGCAGGGGTGGCACCTGCGAACAGGGCAGCATGCAGACACCTGGCCGCGCCTCTGCGTAGGAGCTGGAGGGGGACATGCTGCTGTTTCTGGGAGCTGCCTGAGGTAAGTGCTGCCCAGAGCCTGCCCCCCTGACTCCCTCCCATGTCCCAGCCCTGATCCCCCTCCTGCGCTCCGGACCCCTCTGTCCCAGCCTGGAGCACCCTCCTGCACCCCCAACTCCTCATCCCCAGCGCCCTCCCCGCCCAGGTAGAGCCCTCACACCCTCCCACTGGACTCGATGACCTTTCAAGGTCCCTTCCAGTTCTAGGAGATGGGATATCTCCATTAATTATTATAACCCCCAATTTTGTGAGCGTTCATGGCCCGGCATACAATTTCTGTCCCAGATGTGGCCCTTGGGCCAAAAAGTTTGCCCAGCCTTGCACTAAAGCAATACAAAAAATATTGCAACACTTTTTTAAATAGTAAATGAGAGTTTTGCTCTGAAAAAATGCTAAGCCAGTTATGCTCAGATTTTTTTTTTTTAAGGGAAGTTTATCTCTAGGTGGAAACCAGTTCAGTCTGACAGGGGAAATTTGCTCAGTTTATAAGCAACTGAAAGAGCATTAAAATGGAAATGTTTAAGCAATATTAGCTATTCTATCCCATCTGTAATTACTTCAAATTTTGAAAACTGGCTCAGTTCAAAATTGGATTTTTACAAGTCCTCAAGGGACTTCAAAAATTTTGTTCAAAATATTGGTAACTTTATATGTGCCCACTTTACTCCTTGAAATATGCTTTAATGTTGAAGGAGTGATTTCCAAGATATTGCGCTTTCTCTTTTGCTCAGTTAGGATGGTGGATGAGTCCCTGGGAGGGAGATCAGGAAACAGGCATGTTTCATCATGGGCTAACATTTTCATAAGCACCTAAGTCCCATTTTCAAAAGTGACTTAGGAGCATAAGTGGTGTTTGAACATCAATGGGATTTAAGAGCCTAAATTATTTAGATGCTCTTGAAAATTTTACCCATGGGCACTATGGTCTAATATGAGTTCTTAATAATGCTAGAAGTTAGAGCTGTTGCCTTGCAAATAGCTGTTAGCTGAGATGTACGGCTTTTGCAGTGCAAAAAGATGCAGGAGCCACAGGTCTGATACCCAGCACTTCAAAAGTTCTGGCACTGTAAGGTGACAATACTATCTTTACATATTGAGTCAATATTGTAAGTTCAAAATAATTAATCTAACTTTACTTTTCTTTCAGCTCGAAGAGCTTGAAGCAGGGCCATGTAAGAAGCATCCATGTAGCATATACATTCCATTTTTTTCTCAAGATTCCACCTACTGTGTTTCAGCTCAAGGACGTTCATCATTTGTTTCAGATCGAGGATTTTCCCAATCAAATCAAAGTTGCATTCATGTTCCTTTAAAACAGCCACGAGGTAAAATAATTTATAAAAATCTGATCCATATTTCTGAAGACTTTTAACTGGTATTGTATTAATATTGTCCAGCAGTTGTATGGCTGTCATTTTCTACTTGATTGGTACCATAATTTGTTTCAGTTGCAGCTAAACAGTTGTGTAATTTACTGAATAAAAAATGGATCATTAAATTAGTTGTTGGAATTGCACAAGTGATATTCAGTTGAAATTTATAACTAGTAAAAATGTGTAGGCTTTCCTGGGTTTAAGGTAACCATAAGCTTGTGATTAAAAATATTAAAGCAAGTGGTTTGTTTTTTTTGTTTTTGTTTTTTTGTTTTTTTTGTTTTTTTTTAAATGAGGGAGGATGGCTAATCTTCCTTACTATGTGTTCTCTCAACTCTGGGTTCTGAATTCTCCTGCCTTTGGGATTCTCTTATTCATAACTCCTGGGGCAGCCCCATCCTCCTCATTGTACCAAACTAGGGCACACCTGGACTGGAACAGGAGAGCTGGGCCCAATTCTATTTAAGGGACCAACTCCACTGTTACCCTTATGTCTGTAATCAGTAGTTCTACAATTCTTGTGTTTTGGAGCACTTTGTTTTTTAAAAATCTCAAGTTATTTATCCTCATTGAATCTCTGTAAAGATCAGAAAAAGCTACAATTTGCTCATGCATTTCTTGTCTTCATAATTAAAGAAAACATAATCAATAAAAAAACCCTAAAGCTGTTTTTAAAGAATTCTCTCGGCCCAAACCATACATTTAATTCCAAAATGTACACTCAATTGTGAAAACCCTAATTAGTCGCTCTAAAGAGCCATTTCTGTTTTAAGATTTTTGTTTTCCAAACCTCTCACTCTATTTTTCTCTAACTTTCTAGACTTTAAAAATATTATAATCAGTGTTGCTGTTGTCATTGGCGTTGGACTGATTTTGGCCATGTATTATCTTTGCAAGCAACTAAAGAAGAGAAAAATTGAACTACCCAAGTCTTTGGTAAGTTTATAGTACTGTTCAGTAGCACATTTGGTGTCAGTCTGTTATTGTATGGCACATTTAAATATCTAACAAGCTTAGTTTTACAGCTAGTATTTTTATTGAAATACCTAGTGGGCAACATGTAGGAGAAAACAAACATCAGTAAACAAAACTGAATACTGTATAGTCACAATATCTGTCTGGGTTCCTCAGTTAAATCCTTTGCACTTATCTCATCTTTCCACCATGATCTTATATGTGCTCTGAATCTGTAAACCAGTAAGCTTTTTACTCCAACTAGATACTTTGTATTGCCTTTAATACTAGACTTTCTCCTTACTAACGAGTTTACTCCAGTAGGCCAGGTTCAAGTACTTAGTTTCCATTCTTAAAATAATTAACTTGTGTCTTAATTGCATTTATTCTTATGTTACTGGAAGCGCCTTTGTGATGGGAGAAGTGGTGCTTAAGTTTGTCATGGGAGCTGGACTCCTTGAATTGCTAAATTCTTTTTGAAGTCACTGAGCCATATTTTATAAGGAACCTTTAGACCTATCTTCAGTAAATCTGGTGATATTCGTAAACCTCTGCTTAGGGGAGTTTTTTTACCCTTCTAAGTACTTCCTTGTTTTATGGCAAGAGAAATAGGTAGGTCTATGGGTATGTCTACGCTGCAATTAGACACCTGTGGTGGGCCCATGCCAGGTGACTCGGGATAAGGGGCTGTTTAAGTGCGGTGTAGATAGTCAGGTTTGGGCTCTAGCACCATGCGAGTGGGGGAGAGTCATAGAGCTCGGTCTGCAGCCCATGTCACCTGGGACTGGCCTGTGCCAGCTATCTAATTGCAGTGTGGACATACCATGTGTGTGTACCAGGGCTTGCTTTGTTCAAAAACTAACTGCAGAGACTAACTATTCCACTGTCAATTACAAAAGCCTTAGCTGCAAGAACCTCTCAGCGTTTATAAAGAAAGCCTCTGTCACTATAGTATCCATTGCTAACATGACTGTGTAATGTAGAGGCAGTATAAAGAACTATATTATAACATAACACTGCAGACTCAAAGGAAGTCAAGATTAGATGATGATAGTGGTCTCTTCTGAACATCTGTTAAGAACAACATCAAGATTAAGGCTCCCTTGCTCACTCATAGGCATAGTCTACTGTTAGAAAAAATTGTAGAGATCTTTGACGCTGGTGCTAAAATGTTGGAAGCTGCAGTATAGCCAGGATGCAGATATTTTACTCATTATCACAGATGCAGAATTTGTTCTCTTGTTGATAATAGCTTTTACAGAATTTCATTTCAGTTTAATTCCCGTGGTTCATATTCAGGCTTAAATATGGAATTCTCTCTTTACCCTCCAATTATAAGAGATATTGGAGTTGGATTTGTAAGCTGCTCCAAGGAATTAAATGAATGTCAGAGCATAAAATATTTTAAGAGTGAAGAGAGGAGCTTTGTGTTTACACATATCTCAATTCCTATTTCTATCTAGTGTATATCTAGATCTTAACATCCAGTTTCCCGGTACCTGGGAGGGAGTTAACTGTAATTTGGTTCCAAATGTTGAGACTTGAGCTTTATGTTCGTTCCAGGACCAGGATACTTTTAACATGTTGGACTTTTAACTATTTTGTGTCCTCCTAGAAGTAGTAATAAGATTCTCTTCACCACCCTCCCACCCTGGTACAAAAAGTTAGGGATTAACTGCAGCACTTCGTAACAACTTGGAGATACATGAACACTCCCCTATATTTTCTGTGACTCCTTTAGCAGCTTTTTACCCAGTGGCACACTCAAAATGATCTGAAAGTGGCATGTGCAAAAAATAGATCCTGAATATTGGTCTCCATTAGAACAAAAAGAAGTGACAATGTTTAGAGACATAGCTGCCAAAAAGGCGGCAGGGCTCATGACAGTTTAAAATTACATTGTTTTCCATCCCATATTCCTCAGTTTCTAGTCCCAAGAAATTGAGAGCCCTAAAGCACCCCTCAACTCATCTTTTTTCAGCAAGTTAAAATCAGCCAAAGCACTTCAGGTGCTCTTGTGGATTAATTTTCAAGAAGAAATATCACTTTTAACATACCTAATGATTATAAAAGGAATGTTTTAGGGCTCTAATGTTGTTGTAAGACTATGTCTACACTATGGACCTTTCAGCAGCACAGCTGTGCCACTGTGAGGTCTACCATGTAGCCACTCTTTGCCTGCAGAAGAGAGCTCTCCTGCTGGCATAATTAAACCACCCTCAATGAGCGTTGTTGTCGGCAGGAGAGGCGTAGCGCTGACCACACCAGCACTTTTGCCAGTGAAACTTATGTTGGTCCAGAGGGGGGGCGGGTTTCACACCCTGACCAGCAAAAGTTTTACTGATAAAAGCGGTGGTGTAGACAAAGCCTAAATAACCTAAAGAGCCCAGCTTTCTGCAAGTGAAGTTGCTGGGCTGGAAGTTGGTGAAGAAAATGGCTAGTTTCAGGATTTGACTTCCTTGTAGCTGAAGCTTGTAAGATTGCTTAAATAACAGGAGTAAGAGGAATATTTCCTGCTTTTTCCTCCTCCTTTCTTCTTGTTTACGTACCACTACCTCTTCTAGTCTAATGGGTGATGAAACCTTTTTTTAGGTCCCTGCTAGGTGGTTATGGAATTTGTGACATCTCACCTAAAAAGTCCAGCAGGTCTGTTGGTGTCAAAGCCATACACTGATGTCAACTGCTGATTTCCACTTAACTCAACTCCTATTTGAATTCAGATTTCCTGAAAGGAACATGTAGTTAAATTATCATGTCTATCCCTTTTTAAAGCATTATTTTGTCTTGCCTCTAAACTTTGATTTATAGAGACAGTAAACTAGATTATCACTAAAACATATAATTTATGTATAACTAAAAGTACCTCCTCTTTATTTTCAAGGTCACTGTGATACGAAATCTGAACTCGCGCAACGTTTTAGAAACAAAACCAGAAGCAAAATATATCTCTGTCATAACCTCCTCATCATCCAAGCCAACGCTCTCAGTGAGTGATGAGGTAAACTTGATAGACCAAGTAGACCAAGTTAAAGAAATAGGGACCCCTAATCCTGAAGACTGCAGTGAAGAAACAGACACTGTCAGCTCCCAGGAGATCTCAAACAAAACAGAAGAGATGTCTATCCAAGAAAGCATTGCTGAAATGACCCCTGATGATGAAGAAAGCCCAAGAGTGAAAGAGAATTATTTTCATTCTAATAGTAGCCAAACGGAGTTAAGTAGTATTCCTTCAGACCCAGAGCCTTCCAACATGGAGGTGCAAGAGTCCCTTATCCTAAAGAGCTGCAACAAGTTTTCTGGTTATGACAAACCTCATGTAATAATGGATCTCCTCATAGATGTTGGTGAAGAGGAGTCTGTGATTGCATATAGGCATACTGATGAAGTGCATGAGTCATGAAGAGAATCATTTGAAGACTACAGGGAGTTCCTTTTTGTGTGCACAACATAGACATTTAGAAGTTTATGAACATCTTAGTCCTAATGGGATTATCAGTGTCACTTCTTAGAGCAGACTCTTAAAATTGAAGGGAACTCAAATGGAAACTGCAACTAGTGTTGTCTCTGACAGTGCAGAAAAGGGGGAAGTGATTGCAATATATCAGTTCTGCTATGAAGGTGTATGTCTCACATTAAGCCACTAGGTGGTTTGCCTTTGACATTTTCCTTTAGGCTGTTAAAGAACTATCTTTATACGAAAGGAAGGATTCTGCAGTATCTTCTAAATAAAGTCCATTGAAGAATCGTCTATACACCCATATCAGTTTGGGAATTCCTGACTCCATGGCCAAGGACCAATTATATTGGAGCCTGTTTCTCGAGGTAGAAGTGCTGCATGGTGGGTCATAAATCTGTACATCTGCACTAATTGCAAGACAGTATGCCACCCCTTCAGAATGCCTACGTTATACATTTACACTTATTGACACAGCTATTTCGTGTGCTTATAGCTTTATCCATGTTTTGTGTACAGAAGTCATATTGTGCAATCACATCTTATGCTCTGAGAAACCTGTATGTTAGCATGCTACCTGACCCTAATTGCAAAAGACTGTTGAACTCATAGCTGCACTGTTTCTAAAGAAGCAATACTGTTAAGCAGCAGTTATTAAAAATGTTTAGCATTTTTCCTCTAAAGCATTTTTATCCTAATTCTTAAGATATATGTGGATTGCTAATAATTCCATTGCACTTTATGGAAATAACTGTTTTCCTATCAAATTGAAAATGCCCATTGAATAGGATTTTTTCATCTTCTTGAGACAACGGAATATTTTTTGGTAATTTGGTGTAGTTAATTAGATCCCCTGATGGAACTCTGAAGCATGAAGCTATCAAACTGAAGATAGGTTTGGATTTTATATCTCAATTCTTCATTACTACTTAAAGGCCTGTAGACACAATGTGGAGACAGGATTTTATTGTGTTGCTAGAAGTGTTTTAAAATGGATCCAAATGAAGCTAGGAAACAATACAGGAAAAAGACTGGAAATATAAGCTTCTTGGTGCCATATGGATTGGAGTTTCCACGTTCAGTTTTGCTTCAGGAAATTCTTACTCTCTAAAAGGTAGTTAGTGGCTGCTTCATATTCCTCTCACTCCGACCCCCAAAGGTATCTTAGAAATAAGAGTCCAAAGATTGTTCATTCTTTATAAGAAATCCCATGCCAATTGCATTCCAAACCATTGTTTTAATATCTGTACTTTAACTTTCTCCTAAACTACTTAGCACTTTCCTTTTGCATGGGCCTGGCTTCTTATCAATTGGATGGACAAGAAACATGTTTTTAAATGTTAAGCTTGTTACAAAACAAAATCTTTGTCTCGAATGAAATGAATATGAGTTGCATAGCCATTTCTGTTCATAGCAGTCAGGCTCTGCAACTACTATGCTTGGGGGAATTGTGCCCCACTGTGCATGCACAGAAACATGTATCCCCACAGATTCTCTTTGCTTCCCCACAGAAAAATGATTTCTGTGGGGAAGCAGAGAAGCTTCACCAGTGCTCATTCACACCTCCCTGGCAGGCACTGGGAGCAGCCAGGTGAGAGGCAAGTCGCTGTGGGGGAGTGGGGATCTGGGGATGCCCTGGCTGCCCAGGGACATTAGTCCCAGCTGAGGGGAGCTGGGGGGAGGAGGAGCAGTAGGACGGAGACTGAGTTCTCCCTCCCCTGTCCAGAGCAGCTGGGGTTGGGTCAGATCAACCTCTCCCTTTCCGCAGTACTCCTTCCTAGGAAGTCATTTCCCATTTTGGATGTGTGCAACCGATTGTTCCTTCCTAAGTGGAGTACTTTGCATTTATCCTTATTGAATTTCATCCTATTTACTTCAGACCATTTCTCCAGTTTGTCCAGATCGTTTTGAATTTTAATACTATCCTCCAAAGCACTTGCAACCCCTCCCAGCTTGGTATCATCCGCAAACTTAGAGAGTACTCTCTATGCCATATGTTTTAATACTTTTAAAAAGTAGTATTAAACTAATGTTTCAGTTGAAAGGCTTGTTTCCTTGCCATAGGGATAAAGCGTCTCTTGTAAAAGCTCCATCATAAATAAACAATGTTTGAGTTAAAAACAGAATACATATGTTTAAGGATTATTGGATTTTCTTTAACCTTTTCAGGTGATACTATGTAACAATGCTACCTTTTTTTACTGATGGATTTTAAAGCTTCTCACAAGATTTCTTCCAGAAACAACCATTTAGGTTAAATAAACAGATGACGATTAAAGGCAGATTCAGATTTGAAATGCACCCTTCATAGGTCCAGCCTGCCCATGGCCCTTTTCCCTCCCTCCCCCTCCACCAAAAATAATAAGGAAAGGGCATCAGGTCTGAGATCCCGGTTTGGCCCATCTATGTGGAAGCAAGCTTCTACAGTGCAAACCAGTGTGTGTAGTGTATGCTATATTCCAGCTTAGAGAAAACAGCTGCTATGTTCTGTCTTGGGTACTATGGCCACAGCACCGTAGCTTCTGAGTGCCTTACAATCTTTAATGTACTTATCACAATACCTCTTTGAGGTAAGGAAGCACCATTATCCCCATGTTATGGTGGGAGAATTGAAGTACAGAAAGAGTAAGTGACTTGCCCAAGGACAAAGAAAATCTGGCAGAGCAAGGAACTGAACTCAGGTTTCCCAAATTCTAAGCTAGTGCCTTACCACTCCTCTCTCTTGAAAATGTTCAAGATGCTTATGCAGCCCCATTGCAGTGAATGGATTAGTTGTTGCAGCATACAAAGAATGCCGGGCTGCTTTGAAACTGCCATCCTGTTCCAGTTACCTGTTATGGATGAGCTTTAAACAAAGTAGTTTAAGTTGTCAGTAAAGACGAGTGTTTGAAGATTGAAATTACATAAATAATAAACTACCAGTTTAAAGCATTGATGCTTTTTCCTAGGGACATATATATTACAATATGGAACTTGCATTGGCTTGGAGAATTACTGTACAGTAGAACCTCAGAGTTATGAAACCTCAGGAATGGAGGTTGTTCGTAACTCTGAAATGTTTGTAACTCAACAAAACATTGGCGGTTCTTTCAAAAGTTTCCATCTGAACACTGACTTAATACAGCTTTGAAACTTAACTATGCAGAAGAAAAATACTGCTTTCCCTTTATTTTTTTTATTAGTTTATGTTTAACACAGTACTGTATTATATTTGGGGGGGGGGGTTGTTTTTGTTTTGGTCTCTGCTGCTACCTGATAGTGTACTTCCAGTCCCAAAAGAGGGGTGTGGTTGACTGGTCAGTTCGTAACTCTGGTGTTCGTAACTCTGAGGTTCTACTGTTGTTTTAATGAGACAAGGTGGGTGAGGTAATATCTTTTATTAGACCAACTTCTGTTGGTAAAAGAGACAAGCTTTTGACCTTACACAAAGCTCTTCATTTTTGCTCCTCCAACTTTTAGATGGTTATTAGGCAGAAGAACTTGGAACCTGGTAACAGAATTTTGATATTGGGGCCATCCAACATCTAGTGTAAAACGAAACCTGTAATGTAAAGCACTTACATTGCACCTCCCATGACGATATAGTCTACTCATGATTAACCCATCTAGTTTAAAACTTCTGCTTTCAAAGCCGCCACTTCTGGTAATATGGAATGAACTATCTGTGGACACGCTTCCAGTAAGATGAGTAATACAATTGCCTTAAGATTTTGAATTCTTACAGGAAAGCAGTGCTTATGCAAGTTTCAGAGGTTGGGCAACTTAAATTCATAAAACCAGTATGTACAAACACAGATCTTCCTTGCAGCTGTTTGCAGTTAAATATTTATCCTTTCCATTCTCCAACTCAAAACTAACCAATTTTACGGTTGTATTAAAATGTAAAGCAAATTGAGTAACTGTAGTTAAACTAGAAACCGTTTAGGATGACTGAGGAAACGTTTTTGCTGGTTCATACTGTTCAGATTAGCACAGTAGTCTGCTTTAAATAAAGATTAAAAATCAAGCCGCATACTGTGTAATACTGAGTTGTTCCAGGATCTAAGCATACAGAGGTGGGGAGGAGTGTACATACACAAACTCCAGCTGAGCCCAAGTTTCAGCCTACAAGAACTTTTAAGCCAAGTCACAACCTCTGCCCCTTTCCCCTGGACAATTGTAAGGATCTCTTACAGTGATTTAATTTTCAGATTTGCAAATGGTGGTTGACTTAATGATTTGTATTAAGCACCTAGAAGCCCCATCGTGCTAGTCGTACAAATGGAGAACACAAAGATGATCCCTGTCCTCAGGAGCTTACAATCTAAGTAGAGCTGCATTTACTTAGCTTGCAAGCTCTTTCATACATGCTTCATCTTCAAGTATATGTTTGTTTGCTCTCTCATTGAGTGGAAGTTTTGCTGCAAGGCTCTGTGAAATATTTTGTTTGTAACCAGTCTGATACTGCAGAATTGTACCAGGTTGTATAAGGAGCCAGTCCCAACCCCAAAAGTGCTGTGTGTAGCAGACTCAGCACTCCCGTAGGGCAGCCTTTTAACAGTTGATGAAAGGGTACAAAAGCAGCGCTCAACAGCAGAAAAGCAGACACAATGCCAGATGTGGGCCGCAGGACGAGCCAGATAGAAGAATCCATCCAGCTTTCTGTTAGCTGTGCTCACAGGAAGAACGAGGAAGAGCCTCTACCCAGGCTTGGACATGTGGGAGGAGACCAAAGGCTTCTGAAGGCCTCTTCCCAACGGGAGGGGAGGTAGGTGCTGCTGCGAGGATAACTTAAAAGGGAGGGAGTGGCAGCAAAGCGGACAAGACCAGCGGGCCAAGCACTACATAGGAGCTGTGAATGTGCTGCTAGGGGCTTTTGAGGAGGAAGGGAATGGAGTTCATTGATGAAGCCAGTTCCTTGTTCTTGTCCCTACAAACTTTGGGGATAAAACAGGTCACATAGAAGAAAAATGTACTGGCCTCATACCTGACCTAGGGAGAGTCTGGCCTTCAAATAAGTCTCTGTTTCTATCAGGCAGAGGTATAGTATTCTTCCTTCTACAAAGCCATCCTCATTTGAACCAAATGATTCATAGATTTTGGGCAGTTAAACAGTTATTCAGTTTGACAATACTGTAAGTTGTTAAACTTCTGACAAAGGGGCCATTTTATTGAGGAGGGGTGATTTAGCAAATTTACAACTTGTTAGTGGCTAAGGGCTATGGAACGCTTGTTGAATATGGCTCAGTTGATCAAGAGTCGTCACTGTCGTATGGTTGTGTAAGTGGCCCATGTTAAATGCCCAAAGGATGCTCTGCCATGTTTGTAGTGATGGTGAAATATGATCCATCCACCCCCACCCCCCATCTGCCATTCTTCATCGCAGTCTGTGTGTGAAAGACAGAATGGGCATGGAGTCTCCCTCTCTTTAGGTTTGAGATATCTTGGTGCAGCAGTAATGGGAAGTTTGCGTGGCCACTGCTTGTGTTGTACCTATCCAGGCCTAAATGGAGGTCTCTCTTCTCCACCACAATCACTCTGGCACTTTTTTAAAAAGCAGAAGGAAGTTAATTCCGCCCTGAAATAAATTTGGTATCTCTCATGAAATAATTCAGATTTTTTGTTGCTTGACCGTGTCCAGGTGTCCCAACATACAGAGCACCACTTATTAGTATTTTGGCATAGTTTAAGGTTTCACGTGATGCTAAATAAATATTTTAAATGAAAGTAAGTAACTTATTTAATATATAATAAAACCTCTAACATACCATCCTTCACAGCTCCAACCTCCCCACCTTTTTTCAAGCACCCCCCACTCTAGTCTATCACCTTTGGCATTTGGGATTTAGAACTGTAATTTACAAGCTTGATCCCAGTCTCTTTTGTATCAAAAGTTAAGGCCCACACCCCTGACTGGGAAGCTGTGGATTTGCTCACTCTACAAAGTAGCTCAGTACTTGCTTTCCTGGAAACTTGCCTGTAATAAATCTCGTGCAAGATTTACCTCTTCCCCAAACAGCTAGTGTATTCTCCTATCTTGGTCCCTGGGGCGTGGCAAAAGAACAAGTCCCTGTTGCTTGAAAAATAAGAAAAGAAAATGGATTCATTCACATAAACATCCTCCTCTGTATTGAGCAGAACAATTGATGACACCACTGCTTCTCTCAACCGCATTCCATAGGTTCTGTACCAAGGCATATAACCCACACACTATCAAACTGCTTATCTTTGTATTGATTGGATAAGGAGCTGGTCTCATACTTGTGTGGCCTCTGCAGGGAAGCTGTGCTGGTTGCGAGAAATGTTCACTGTAAACTAAGTTATCTGATTTCCAGCTCTGCCCTGCCACCACTTCCTTCAAATGTGTGTGCATAGCAAAAGTTACATTGAACCATGTGCAATGGGTTCATTCCAGACTTGTGTGTCATAGTTTTCCAAGTAAGGCTTAAGTGGGAATTAAATAATGCAGATTGTGGGTACAGATCCACGGCAGGGGTGAATTTCACCCATAGTGAATAATTCCTCTTACAATTGGGAAATGCATTTTATTCTACAGCAAATCTATGGTTTGGTAGTATCAAAGGCTTAGTTCATAAGGGGAACTCCAATCAGCTGCTTACATGAGTGTGACCTTGTTTCTATCCAAGTCTCACAAAGAGGTTATGTTGTAATGCCAGCACTGACGTCTATATTTGGCCTCAAATAAGAGTATTTCTAAGGACCAATAATCCATGTGTGCACTCATACTAAGTAAATAAGGGTGTCTTTTTACTGTTCCTGCACATTTATCACACTACTGCTGATTAATCCATTACTTGTCAAGTGCTTTGAAATAAAATGGGAGGAGTAGGATCTTAAGCCTAACTAATGCTTCCTTTTAACATGGGTATATTTAAAACAATTTCTGTAAAAGCCTGCAGGAAACATTAATATTTCCAGTTTTCAGTGCCACTTCACAATTCTTACTTTTTTCTTAAAAGGTTGGTTCTCCTATTTATAAAGTCTTGTTTAAAATATACAGTATTGCCATACTCCTTAAATACTGTCATGTTACTTTTTTGACAAATATGTGTACATTTCATGCAACATCTAGGTCTTACATTTCATACAGGTTATAGGTAGATGGTAATCTTTTGGGAACATAGCT